AGGGTTTTCAATTCAATTGTATAGAATGTGAAGGAAGTGTCTTTTTGTTTTATTTTTATAGTTTTCTTATGGTTAAGGGTAATTTAATTTAGTTTACTTTATAGCAATAGCAATAGCAGTTAGACTTATATACCGCTTCATAGGGCTTTCAGCCCTCTCTAAGCGGTTTACAGAGTCAGCATATTGCCCCCAACAATCCGGGTCCTATTGCACTTCATACAACGAAATTAAATGCCCTCTTCGGTGTGCACCATACATAAGAAAACTATAAAAATAAAACAAAAAGACACTTCCTTCACATTCTATACAATTGAATTGAAAACCCTTGATCCTGCATTAGTTTACACTATACAGTAGAACAGTGGTTCCCAAACTTGGCCACTTTAAGACTTGTGGACTTCAACTCTGGCTGGAGAATTCTGGGAGTTGAAGTCCACAAGTCTTAAAAGTTGCCAGGTTTGGGAACCACTGCAGTAGAATTCAACATAGTTACTGCTCCGGAATAGAAGCTGTTTTTCAGCCTATTTGTCCTTGTTTTTATCATCCTGCGCTGTCTGCCAGATGGTAATAGTTCAAAAAACAAAGGGTGCCCAGGATGAGATGGATCTTTAAGAATGTTCTGAACTTTCTCAAGGCAGCAGGGGCTATAAAGCTCTTCCAAAGAGGGGAGAGGTCAACCATTGATCCTCCGGGCAATGATGTTGACCCTCTGGAGCGCTGTCCTATCTGCGACTGTGCAGTTGGCAAACCATACACAGGTGTAAGTTAAAATACTCTCTGGTGCAGCAGTAGAAGGTCACCAGCAATTTTTCATTCAGTTGTTGTTTCCTGAGAAACAAAAACTGGGCCCTTTTGACCAGTGCTGCAACGTGAGCGCCCCAGGTTAGGCCCTCTGTTATGATAACACCCAAAAACTTAAAACTGGCCACTTGCTTCACTTGGTCTCCCTTGATAACCAAGGGCTGGATGTCTGATATATTCCAGTTCTACTGCCAGTTCTGGGCAGTAGGGCCCGGTACAGGTGTACCAGTGGTGGTTGGGAGCAGCGGCCACCATACCAGAACGGTGGCTCGTTTGGCCCACCCGCCCGCCCGTGCTCTTTACCGCTTTTTGAGGCAAACGGGTCGATTGTGCACGTGCACACAGAGTACGGTGCCTGTGCGACCTCCGCCGAGCAGGGTGTGAGTGACTATTTAGCGGCTTATTCGTTCATAACTTCTGCTGCACAACTCTAGTCTCCTAACGGGAATAGACTTAACAGCCATTAAGGCCTGAGCCAGTCTATTCTACGTAACAAAGATCTACCTCCTTCAGGAGGACCCATCTAGCAAACAGAAACTCGCCACATGTCACCTGGGAAGATTACATCAGCCAGCGGCTCAAACAAGCTTGGGTCTCAGGACAGCTTACAAAGTTAGCTAAGACCTCCGCCCCCTGGGAGACTGACCACCAATCAGAATGCATTTCGTACACAGGAACGGGAAACTCTGGGGTGGGGCCCAGAGAGGGCATAAAACCAGGGCATTCTCAGCATCTCTGCCCTTTTCTGCTCAGGAACTCAAGCATGTGATTCTGCTCAGGAGCTCAAGCCATGGGTTCCTGTCCACCATTAAAACCATCTTTCCAAGCAGCCTCCATGTTTCCAGTGTTTTTTTCCCCACTTGGAACTGAACCCAGAAGGACATTTCTTCCAACATCACGAAAGCAACTGGTCCACCTCATCTCGATAGGCAGACTCATCCCCCCACCCCGGAGATGAGTCCCACCACTGTTGTGTCATCTGCAAATTTAGGAATAGTATTACTGACATGGGAGGAAATGCAGTCATGTACATAAAGAATATAGAGTAAGGGACTCAACACACAACCCTGTGGTATACCATCGTTAAGAATAAGAACTGAGGAGATATGAATACCTAATCTGACCCTCTTAGAGTGTCCAGACCGGAAATCCATAATCCAAAGGCAGATTGAATAAGAAAGTCCAAGATCCATAAATTTAGATACTAATCAATGGGGAAGAATTGTATTAAATGCAGTACTAATATCTACAAAAAGCATATACCAACCCTTCCTTTGGTGAAAGATATTTCTTCCCATTTCTCCCGTTGTATCTCTAAATTACAGTTATTATAATTAATGGCA